GGGGGATGCGGGAGCCAATGAGGGCGTCGGGTGGGAAAGGGACCGGCTGCATCTGCCCGTCAGCGCTGACGTGGAAGGAGTAGGCACTGGAAGGAAGCAGAAGAGAGGACTGAACAATCCCTGTGTGATACCTGAGTGCAGGAGCCGACCTCTCTCATTAGCCACATGCGAGCCAGGTGGAAGGTTCCCTGGTGCTCTCTGGCTAATGAGGGACATAATTAACCAGCTCCTTGTTCCCACCAGCTGCCTGGAACAAAATGACAGCTTTTGACTCCAAAGCGGGGAGGAACTCCAGCCAGGCCCTGCCCCATACGTGCTGGGTGTAGAAGTGAGCCATGGGGGACAAGACCCCCCTAGACCCACCCCGTGCTGCCTGGCTTGGCTCCTGGCTGCCCACCCTCCTGCAGCCCCTTTGTGCAGCCACACTTACGGTTTCCCTCCAGGGATGGTGGAAGCCCTCAGGTGAGGGTGCGACTCAAAAGCCACCTGCACAAAGCAAAGGGCACATGATGAGTGAAGTGCCAAACCCTCAGGAGGGGACACAAAGGCTGGGCTCATGCCTTTCCCTGCATGCCCTGGGACAGGGCCAGCCTGGCTCTGCGCAAGGTCCCTGCTTGCTGCTTCCTCCACATGCAAGTGACAAAGGCCAAAACGGGCTCCCAAAGACACAGCTACACACCAGTGGAGGCTTCTCAGAGCTCTGCAGCCTCCACTGGCTCCACAGCGCAGGCACCTCCAGAAGGGAGCCCCTCCTATGGCTGCACCCCACTGCTTGAGCTCATTGCAGCAGCGCAGACACTGCACGGCAGGGACAGTGCATGCCCAGGACAGCAGGGGACAGGCGGCAGAGCTGACACGTGCCAGCAGATCAGGCCTGTCCCTTGGCAACTTACCATCGGGGACCGGCCATACATCACAGCGCTGCTGACCTGCGGCGAGAGGTGGATGCCCATGTACATGCTGGGGGCTGGGAGCTCCCCGTTGAGGGTGGCGTGAGGCACCATCCCAAAGGAGGACGTGTAGGGGCTGGACACGCTCAGCGGGCTGCGGAGAGCTGCACGAGGAGAGACCCGCTCATTGGCCCTGGCCCACGGCTGTGAGCAAGCATCACCCGAGGGAAAAGGGCGTCCGGCACAAGCCAGGCAGCAAGAGGCAGCGTCACCTCTCGCACCAGGCCCAGCCAAGCCTGGCATGAACCAGTGGATCAGGAGGAGGGCAGGCAGGTTATGGATTAGGGGCCAAAGACCAAAGGACAGGGACAACCCCCGAGTCTCATCAGTCAGGGACACGGGATGGAGATCCAGCACTGGAGATCAAATGGCTCTGTCCCTCCAAAGGATGCACCACGGACCAGCTGCTAACCCACAGCAACCCTCATCTCTGCTGCCAATGCCTTTTCAGCCTTGGCCCGGCCAAATTACTTGTGGTTGATGGCCGAGTGGCTCTAACTCCAGGGTTTCAATGGTTTATCAAAATCGATTCCAATGCGATTTTTGCTAAACCACCGTAATTTTCTAGCCAGACGAGGGTTTAACATCTCCAGTCCTGTCTCTATTTCTCCCTTGGAGCTAGGTGTTCTCCTCCCATCACCTTTTGGTCCCTTTGGCTAGACAGTGGCCAAGCTGTTCCAGAGACTTTTTCACAAGTCTTCCCTAAATGTCTTCAAGGAAACTGAGGTAGGAAAAGGGGGCTTGAGCAGTTTACCATCAGCCAGCACAGAGGCCACTACTGAGTGCTCACCCCCCTCCCCTGCGCTTTCAGAAGGTGGTAGCAGCCACTGACAGGGCTCCTGGGTCAGCTGGATCTCACCTAGGGTCTCTGCAGCACCCAGCACACATAGACCCTCACCCCTATGGGAGATCCTCAGCTGCACAGGGAGACTGGCCACCTCCTGGCCTCCTGCATTCCCGTGTGCCGGTGGCAGCACTTGGCCACCCCTCCTACCCCTGCAGCCAAGCCCTGAAGCACGGCTTCACGTGAAGCCACGAGGCTTCACGTAGCAACAGCAAAATGAACGCGTGTCAGAGAAAAACAATGACCTCCAGAAAAACACCTGCCCTCCCCAAACACCCACAGCGAAGAGCTCTGCACATCGACACACCACCTCCAGTGTGTCTGAGCCCACCAGGAAGGCGTCGGCAGTTGGGTACATGGTGAGTGCACATAGGTGCACATGTTCGCCCTGGTTGACGTGTTTGACTACATGGAGCAAAACAGCCACCCCAGCTCTGGTGAAAGGAGAGAGCGTCCTGCCTCCCCTTGCCCCAGCCCCATGGCACCATCCGCAGCACATCGACACACCACCTCCAGTGTGTCTGAGCCCACCAGGAAGGCGTCGGCAGTTGGGTACATGGTGAGTGCACATAGGTGCACATGTTCGCCCTGGTTGACGTGTTTGACTACATGGAGCAAAACAGCCACCCCAGCTCTGGTGAAAGGAGAGAGCGTCCTGCCTCCCCTTGCCCCAGCCCCATGGCACCATCCGCAGCAGAGCGGACACCCCCC